TGAGATACCACCTTACACCAGTTAGAATGGCAAAAATTGACAAGGCAAGAAACAACAAATGTTGGAGAGGTTGTGGAGAAATGGGAACCCTCTCACACTGTTGGTAGGAATGCAAGTTGGTACAGCCACTTTGTAAAACAGTGTGGAGGTGCCTCAAAAAATTAAAAATAGAGCTACCCTAGGACCCAGCAATTGCACTGCTGGGTATTTACGCCAAAGACACAGATACTGTGAAAAGAAGGGCCGTATGCACCCCAATGTTCATAGCAGCAATGTCCACAATAGCCAAACTGTGGAAAGAGCCGAGATGCCCTTCAACAGATGAACGGATAAAGAAGATGTGGTCCAAAAATACAATGGAATATTACTCAGCCATCAGAAAGGATGAATACCCAACTTTTACATCAACATGGATGGGACTGGAGGAGATTATGCTAAGTGAAATAAGTCAAGCAGAGAAAGTCAATTATCATATGGTTTCACTTAGTTGTGGAACATAAGGAATAACATGGAGGACATTAGGAGAAGGAAGGGAAAAATGGAGGGAATTCAGAGGGGCAGATGAACCAAGAGAGACTATGGACTCTGGGAAACAAACTGAGGGTTTTAGAGGGAGGGGGGTGGGTGGCTAGCCCGGTGATGGGTATTAAGGAGGGCACGTACTGCCTGGAGCACTGGGTGTTATACGAAAATAATGGATCGTGGAACACGACATCAAAAACTAATGATGTACTGTATGGTGACTAACATAACATAATAAAATAAAATTTAAAAAAAAGAAAGAAAGAAAACACTAACTCTTAGACCTGTATACCAAACACTCCTGAATCAGAAGCTCTTTCTTGACTCAGAACTTCTGCAATTAATGATCCATTTGCCTGGATCACTCTTTTCCCAGCTCCTTGCCAAGCTCTCGTCCTCACAGAATCTCTGTATCTCTGTTCACATAATATTCCTCCTCGTTCTAACCTCCTATCCCAAATACTCCCCACACTGCCTCTTCTCTCCTTGACAGTATCTCTTTACTCTTATTTATTTTTCTTCCCAACAGTTATTATTACCTAAACTTACATAGTTATTTCTTCTTTGACTATCACCTGTTTCCTCTTTCAAGCTCCAAAAAAGGCAGAGAATCTTCTACTGTGTTTCTTGGGAAATTTTCTAAGCCTAAAATGGCCTTGTACACAGTAGGCAATGGATCAATATTTGCATAATGAGACATGCCGCATTGCTGAGAACCACTTTCTGGCCGAGTCAGCCATGTTACAAAATAGCAAAACTAAAATTTCTTAACATAACAAGATATGATATGAGATCCTAACAAAGGCTTAACACATATCACATACATCTTATTTGAAACATAAAAAGCTTGCCAAGAATCTAGTCATTAGTCATGCTGTTTTAGAATATATTCAGATCTGTTTATTTCTTCTTTATAGATGAGACTTGGATAAATTTCAAGATCCACAAAAAAGAAGGAGTTAAAAATAAAAGGAGATGGAAGGCAGCTGAACTACCTCCTCCTTCACAGATTCAGAGAAGCCAGGGGTGTGGGTAGAGGACACCCCCTCTCCCTCTTAGACAGTTATAGCAAAATCATCTTGGGGCCCGTTCAGATTTGTTCACTTGACCCTTAAACTTCCTGAGAGAAGTGCTAATTTAGTGAGCTGCCCTTCCTGTGTCCAAACTGCCAGATTCACATAGCAAATCACTTTAGAACTTTACCACACTCATATATACAATCATTACTATCATTAGGCAATATGGCCTTGGAATAGATGAAATACAGTTGTGTCCAATTCACACGGCTAATTTAAAATAGCAGATAAATGAGGGGAGGTCTGTGGGGATGGGCAAAATAGGTGAAGGGAATTAAGAGGTACAAACCCCTAGTTATAAAATAAATAAGTCACAAGATGGACATCATAGGGGAAAAATAAATAAATAGCAGATAAATTTAAAAAATGTTTAACATTGGGCGCCTGGGTGGCTCAGTCAGTTAAGCGTCTGCCTTCGGCTCAGGTCATGATCTCAGGGTCCTGGGATGGAGTCCCACATCGGGCTCCCTGCTCAGTGAGGAGCCTGCTTCTCCCTCTCCCTCGGCCCCTCCCCGCATTCATTCTCACGCTCTCTCAGTCTCTGTCTCTCCCTCTCAAATAAATAAATAAAATCTTTAAAAAAAGAGTTTAACATTACTCCTGACATATATTATGTTTCAAGTGTTATTATTGGAGTGTTATTACTGTCTCCCCAAAACCCTGCCTACATCAATTATTCCAGATGCAATGCACTTTTTAAGTTTTAAGATTTTCTCTACTATAGTTCCATTCTCTGATGCACTATTAACTTTAGAATAATTTCTAGTATTTGAGACAAAGACTCAGTCTATTATCTAAACTTTTTAACAGACTTAAAAATAGAACAACCCTTTTGAGTGTTATTAAACCTAAAATGTGGCACTTTGTTCTCTGACACCCTTCAAATTAGAATTACTGTCTGGCAAATGTATTTTATCCATTTCTACTTTCTTGTCAAAAGATTCTACTTAGAAATCCTTTATATTTTCATGGGCCCTTCAAAAGACAAAAGCAAACAGCAAAAAACACAATAGAAGAACAAAGCCCTAAGGATCCAGCTTAACTCCCAACTTCATGAATTACAGAATTAATGAATATCCTATTGAGCCTTTCGATTTTATAAACAGATTTTATTTTAATTTTTTGTTATGTGAATCACCATACATTACATCTTTAGTTTTTGATGTAGTGTTCCATGATTGTTTGCGTATAACACCCAGTGCTCCATGCAGTACGTGCCCTCTTTAATACCCATCACCAGGCTAACCCATCCCCCCACTCCCCTCCCCTCTAGAACCCTCAGTTTGTTTTTCAGAGTCCATCGTCTCTCATGGTTTGTCTCCCCCTCCAATTCCCCCCCTTCATTCTTCCCCTCCTGCTATCTTCTTTTTTTTTTTCTTCTTAACATATATTGCATTATTTGTTTCAGAGGTACAGGTCTGTGATTCAACAGTCTTGCACAATTCACTGCGCTCACCATAGCACATACCCTCCCCCAATGTCTATCACCCAGCCACCCCCTCCCTCCCACCCCCCCCAGATTTTATAAACATTTCAGAAATGAAATCCCTCTGTCGAAGGCCACAGAGCCAATGGGTAACAGAACTAGAATGAAAACCCTTGCCTCCTCAATCTCAGTTTGATACTGGTCCTCAACACTTGGCAACTTGGATGACCGTTGTCATAGCTGCCTTCTCCAAAGTCTCATAGCACTTATACTATAGCACCTGTCACGTAAGTCTCAACAATAGCATTGTCTTTATTGCTCAACTTAAAAAAAATTCCTATGTATTTCTCTTTTCTGCTTGACTAAATTATAAGTTCTGTGAAGATAAGAACCATATCAAATCTCTGCTGCATGATGCCAAGAGCCATCTGTAGTCCTGAGCCCCAGGATGGAGCCTAATAAGTCTGTGACGACTGGCTGCCCTCCCTGGTGGTAGGACAAAGCAGCCTAGGGGCATAATGAATGATGTGAGTGGGAATAGCATCTCCCTAGGGATTTGGAAGTAAATTTCATGTGGAAAGCTAAAATATGATTGTTTCCTTCTGCATGTATACACAGCACAGTGACTTGTATTTAGCCATTTAATCCTCCCAACATGCCTAGTAAAGTAAGTCTTATTAGTTTTCTCGTTATGCAGATGGAGAGACTGAAGCAGGCTCAGAGAGGAGAAACAGCATGCCCAGAGTTTCTCCACTAGTAAGACAGACAAAAAATGAATGATCAGTAGTCGAAGACATTCATGTAATTCACAAATAACGATCCTCTATACACATCTATTGTCAAAGCTAATAATTTGTTTTCTGTGTGATGTTCAGTATACATAACAGGAAGTGGTGCCAATGAGCAAACAGAAATAATTTCTGTACTCCCTTTCCATCTCACAGACACATGGCAGGTGTATGTGTAATTTTATAAATTGGCATCTCAATAAACAAAAATATATTTAACATATAAGCTTAAATATTAGTATAAATAAAATGATGATTAATACAATTAATAATTATTCTTCTCCATTATAATTATTTGAAATCTAATCTTAAGCTTGGAAAGAAACAATATAGATACCCAAAGAAATTAACTTAAAAATCAAAAGCTGAAAAAAAGAGAATAGGCTTGGGTAATAAATTTGCTAGATCGATAAAATAGGTATTTTATAATTCTAGGAGGTAAAATATACAAAACAGAGTGCACTATTATCTCAATTATCTTTTCGAAGTAGGTGGTTTAGGTACTATTTCTCCTCAATTGCTCTCTGCCAATTCACAAGGAGAAAGAGAATCCCAGTTCTAGGATGTGCACCAAATTTCTTCTGCATATGCTTAAGGCTCATAAAGGAGAAAAAAAGGGAAAACGTAAAGAGGTCTTGCTGAGTGCAGTGCAGCAGTGCGCCCTGGGCACGCTGTGCTCCGTACGGGTATTACCTTCAGTCGTATGATGTTGAAAAATACCACTCTTATTCAAAAGCCCTGGCAACAAGCATCCACACAAAGTTATCAGGCCTAAATCATTCTTTGTCATCCTGGGATACAAAATGATGCTATTTCATCCTTCATGGTCCATATCAAGGCAGGTGGACAAAGTCACGAGAGTTTTGATTAACCCCAGAACAAACTGAAAATCATAATTCCTGCTATAGTTCAATCTTACTACGACTTTTTCAGTTTATGATTTTCCCCTTGATGAAAATGGAAAACTAGTTGATCACCCAAAAGAAAATTTTGCTTCGTGCTTTCTTCATTTTTGCATTCTTGTATGTTAAATATGGAGATTGAGATTTGAATTTAATGCAATTAGGTGCACAGTTTGGGTGTGGGGGGCAGCCGTGTGGGTCCTCACATAGGATTCCAAAAGATACTAACACAACAGGAGAAGTGAATTAAAAGATCACAAAGACTCAGAGAGGAGGGGCTACTCACAATGTTCATCAGGGTGAGGAGGTAGTTCTGGACGTGCTCTTTGCCGTGGAAGCGGACCACGGAGTCGTCCACCCCCAGCAGCACCTCGATGTTGTAATCATTCTCTCCCGTGTGTCTGCGGCGTCTCACTGCCTCCTTCAGCTGCTGGTCAATGCTGCTGGAAATAGGACCTACATCGTCAAGGCCTCCCAGATTCGACTCTAGTAAGAAACAAAAGGAACTCAGGCATTTCAGCTTCCCCAAGGGGCCTTCTGACAACTTTTTACAAAAAAAGAATCTTCTAGGGGGTCTAACATTATAATCCATAGTCACTGAGATGCTGCTTTTCAGTTTATTCTTCAAATACTGAATACATGCATGTGATCGGACAGATCTCCTATAAATTCAGCATGGAATAGCAACACTGAGGATTACTGTACAGAAAGCAGGTGCCATCATGCCAGACCGAATGTTCCATGAGCATAACAGTGTGTACATCCTTGTGTAGCTGCATCCTCAGCGCAGAGAGTGGATACAGAGAGAACAGCTACTAAGTAGTTATTAAATAAATGGAGATTATAAATTAAAAAATCATGTGTTGATAAGTTTATTGTGGTTAATTGAAGTTGTTATAATCCTGGGGGGGGCAGATAAAATTTGTATCACGTAAGTTTAAATCACTCCTTTGCCAGTAGCCTTAATTTAAAAACCAAATTCGAGCGTGGCAACACAAAAGCAGCTAGTTGTATAATTATCAGTCACCATAAAGGACTTTATTTCTTATGAGTATGATTTTCTAGTGAATGCCGCTAGGAGACACTACAGGTCTCCACATGTGTACTGGCCATCATCTGGATAGCATGTCAGTGCCATAGCTATATATGTGAATGTGTGAGACGTCAAAGTAAGAAGTTAGTCAGAAAATATATCCAAAGAAAAATAAAACAAGAAACATTTTTTTCATTTTATACAGTTGAAGGAATTTAATATTACTTTCCCAATGGACCACACACACACACACACACACACACACACACACACACACACACACGAGATACAAATGTCCATATACATCTATCTATCTATTCATCTATCTATCGAGATAGAGAGTGAGAGAGGCATTCTCAGGTTCTAAATCTTGATTATCTGCTTTCAGATTTCCATATTTTTGGTGAAGAAAAATGTTTTCGTGAAATGAAAAATAAAATTTATCACGTGGATGCTAAAATAAAAGATATTATTCAAAACTGTTGGTATAAAACCGAAAGTAGATTCATTTCCATTTCAAATATATATAAGCTGGAAAGGATTTTATTTTACAAACTGCCTTGATGTCTATAACAACCTCCCATATCTAAAAACAAGTTTGACAGAGCCCATTCTGACTCATGCTTTATATGGAAGGCTTACTTAATGCTGCACTGGGGCCCGTAAGCCGTTTGAATCGGCGTCTGACATTAACAAATAGGCATTTTCCTCCCCACTTTTGCGGTTTTAACAAAGTTGGGGGGGGAGGTGTCTCTTGGCCAGGAAAATTGATGACCAAGCCCTAGACATATGGGATTAGAAGTAGTAGAAGTACAGATCTTACTCACACCCTTTCCACTATTAAAAAACACACAGAGGGGCGTTTGGGTGGCTCAGTCACTAAGTGTCTGCGTTCAGCTCAGGTCATGATCCTGGGATCGAGTCCCGCATCGGGCTCCCTGCTCCGCGGGAAGCCTGCTTCTCCCTCTCCCACTCCCCCTGCTTGTGTTCCCTCTCTCGCTATGTCTCTCTCTGTCAAATAAATAAATAAAATCTTCAAACACACACACACACACACACACACACACACACACACACACACACACAGAAACACCAGCACCCACCCCTGCAAGTATGGGCATAAGCTCTGAATATGACTACTCAGGTTTGAAAGCTATCCTGTAATTCACTTTGACCCAAGCCCAAATGCTAGATCATTAGCTGGGAATTTTCTTCTCATCGGGGAATCACATTGACTCCACAATACATAAATAGCTCTTACCACCATCCACATCAAACAGAAAGTTTTCCTCAAAAGTTGCTTTTAAGAGCTGCAACCCACATTGAGGGCAAGACACTACACCTGCAAACAGCTTTACCTAATTCAACCTCAAGTCTTCTCACACACTTGGGACAGTGAAAGCATGTGATAGCTAATGTACAAATAGGAAACTCATACATGAACTCCCAGTTCTAAAAATGGCTCTTTTTGGCAGAACTGCCAGTGACAGTGTCCAATGCAAATATACTAGCCATGTCATCATATCATTAAATCTGATGCATGAATGGAGAAGACTGAATACTTATTTCAGAAAGACAGTTCCATTCTGCTCTAACACACCTTTGGTTTGGTCTTTGAATCCCTCCTTAAATAGGTGGTTTTCTGGTAAGAGAAGAAAATCTCTTTTTTCATTGCATGAGGAACCTGGAAAGGAAGAAGGAAGCCTTTTTCCTTCAATCATTGCCCTGATTCAGTCATAATACTTCTGTCCCTAACTCCCCCTGAGCACTACAGCGCCCTTTCTATGATTCCTAAAGTAGGCAGTATCAAACATTGCAAAGACAGTGAAAGAATTTCTGGCACTTTTTATCTATACACATCAGTAGGAATTACAGACATTTCTGAGGCTGTGAAATATCTTCACTCATAACGAATTATTCCCAGTAGGCCCACTTTGCAATGTAATTGTCATGGGCTTTGTAATCAGACACATTTGACTTCAAATCCTGCCAGTGGCTATCCTATATGATTTTATTTAGGATGCTTACCATTTCTAAACCTCACTTTCCTCACCTGTAAAAATGGGATAATCCCTACTTTGCAGAGTTGCTGTGAAGAGATGATTATAGTAAAAGCACTATGTACAGTGCTTAGATATAAGTGCTCAACAAATAGTATTCACTGTTACTACTGTCATGATGATGATGGTGGTGGTGGTGATTTCCCATTAAGAGAAGTCTTCTACACCTTTTTTTAGCTTTTTACATTTTGTTTTATATATCAGAAATTAAATAGTTACATTTTTTAAAATAGAGATAAGAAAAAAATCTAGACTTAGTGAAGGGAAATCTAAACTGCTGATAACTTTAGAAAGAATGAAGGTTAACAATATTTCCTGCAGAGCATTAAATAGGTACAAGGAGAAAAGAATCTAGAATGTTTACCTTCAGGTAAATTAGGATGAAATCCAATGAGACAAGCTTGTTTAGTAGATTAAAAACCTAATATGAAATTGGAAAGAGTTAGCCAATAGATGGCACTGATCTTCACTCAATGTATATTTACTGAGTACCCATACATGTCAGACCCTGAGAAGGTAAAAAACTACTTGGTACCTCTTTAGGTGTTAACTCTGGGAACCACACAGTTGTACTGGGTTTATATTCAGAATGGAGCTGAGTTCGTATCATGTAGTCACAAACCATTATCTAGGCTTGAAAGACTTACACCATTTCTAGTTTAAGCAGATCTAATCAGGGTATTAGAACATGCCTTTCAGTAATAGTTCACACCTTTATAAAATTTCAAAGTTTAAAAGCTGACACCTGCTTTGATAAAATTTAAGATGCCTCTATGTCTAATTCTGAATTATTTCTGTGCCCCATCAAATATAAGAACAGGAATAATTAAAGGTGAGTATCCTCTTAATCATGTCCAAACACCCGCCCATCAAATCTGTTTACTGCTAAAAGGACTAAAAGGAATCACAGAGGAGGCCATAGGCAAGTTCCAGAAGCATAAACAGAGTGACATTTTGCATTGGGAGTAGCAAGCTAGACCTGTGGGGGCATTCTGCTGGCATCCCCTTAAGTAAGTGCATTCAAGGTGACTTGAACGGCTGTAGCTGAGTTGGACAGCAGAGGGTGATTGAAGTGATAATAGAATCAGTGGGAAGAGCATCTTTAAGATAAATAAATAAATAAGGCTCTGCAGCAGGTGCAGTGTGCAGCATTCCAGAAAAGTGATGCTCAGAGTACCTTTCAAGTTTCACAGAAATATCAAAGGCAATCATTCTTAGTACTGAGAGTGAGTTTCCTTTTTTGAAACTTCTTTGAAACTTAACATTTTGAGTTAATGATAAGAATTAATTACTATCTGGAAACATTTTGATTGCACCCATTTTTGTCCCCTCTAGCTTCCCAATTGTTGTATATGAATTTTCAGAGAAAGAATAATTTTACTACAAAGTTTATTTTTATTGAAGATATATTGGGGGCACTCTGGGTGATCAACTAAGTCACAATAAATATAGTTATTTTTAGTGTTAAAGACAGGATGGTACCTAGTGTTAAATAAGAATTTTGAACTTCCTAAACAGATAAAGAAAATTTATAAGTTGTTTTGCTGATTATGAACACATGGGCTTAAGACATTTTCAGGATGGAGCATGGCATGTTTACATAACTAATCACTTTTATAGGAAGTCTAAGTGTAGATTGGTGAAATCACTCCCACCCCGGAAGAAATTCTATAGTCCGAAAACTGATAGGAGACAAAGGTAAAATTGGAAAACTATAAAAGTTTTGATCAAGTTCTGAATCTGATACAAATACATCTGGGGTTGGAAAGCAATCTCAAACATACTGTGATAGAGACTGTGACAGAATCATCTATTCTCTATCCATTCTCTCTTCCCTAAGGAGTAGAATTCTAATTTTATTTGAGGTGGTCATAAACCCAGCTAAAAGTCATTCACAGTCTCTCTTGGGACTAAGCACCCCACATGACTAAGAACAATTCAATCAGAAATAAGCAGAAGTATTGCTTATACTTCAGTGGCTTAAATTGGCTGGTATGAAAGGTTTCCACCAAGGCTCCTCAAAGGAGTGTGATTCCTCTTCGTAAGTTAGACCCTTTGGTCCCTTACTCAGTATTCCTTCCTGCTTCCTGGAACATGGACATGATGTCAGGAGTTCTATGAAGTAACCTTAGAATCAAGGCCTGTGCTTAGGATGACAGGGGAGCTATAAAGAAGAGATCTGACCCCACGATGACTGTGGAGCGGGCATCCCAGCCCTGCAGTGCGAGCACCGGACTTTGTTACACGTGGGGGATATTGCACTTCCATCAGGGTTAGGGTAAGTTTGGGTTTTCTTTTATATGTCACCGAATCTAGCCCTAATAGATAGGACATTGACAATAATTTTATTATATAAATTCCTAATGCTCTCCTGCTCCATTTGGGAATACAAG